ACATGCTAGCAGCTAAAGTCTGACATGGTAGTAGCTGAAAGGCATTACCAACACATGCTAACAGCTAAAGTCTGATGTGGTAGTAGCTGAAAGTCATTAACAACACATGCTAACAGATCTCACAGGATCTCTATTGCATGAGATTGTGCATAACATCATTTATGAAATTTCTCTGTCCTCTTTCATTATACGATTATCTTGGTTCAAACCTTCGGCATAAGAGGTATGTGTAGTGTGCTCTCTTATAAGACCTTTAATTCGTACTGTAATTAATGTCCTTCTGTGTCCTCACTGTTAGATTTTTAAACCTCAAGGTCTGCGTAGTTGCCAGTTCTATTGCATAAGACAAATTACATTAATTTAAATCACAGCGCTGCTCTAAAGTCAAAATGTTAAGTGAAGAATTTTTCCATGTGAGAGTTCAAACCTTAATTTTACTCATATCTTATTTTCAAGCTTGAACCTTCATGCTCGCTTTCGAGAGTTGATGTGTAATTTAGTGGATGTGCACATTATTAATTACACTCAGAAAGAAAAGAACTTCTGTCTGTCAAGCTCCACAGAAATGCATGCTAGTCACTTTGCCTAATGTTCAAAGGCCTGTTAATAGTCTGCAGGTGCTCTCACGTCCACCTACCACTTATTGGATTGATAGCCATAACGTTTTGTGCTGCTGTCGGCAGGATGATGACCAATTACTCTGATCGGATGTGATCTTGTGTGTAACATTGCGTTTGTCTAATAATTTGATCAGAACTAAAAATATCCACACTGACAGGCAAAAAATAAATAAATCCAAACTAAGCTGGCTGTTATAAACTTTTAGAAGAATAACCAGATGTAGGTTGCTCACAGAGAGGTGATTTGTGGCACAAACTTATCTGGAAACGTTCTTATTAAAGCAAAGACATGTCCATGTGAGTTCAAGTTTATTTTTCTTCCAGGGCTTTGTGGATGAACTGACATACACTCAAACAGACAGGAAGTTTACCCCAAACTGCAGCTTCACCAGCTCTTTTCGCAGTACATAACACTTTATACATGAACTTTGTTCAGACTATTA